TCCACAGACTATGTCTAAGACTTCCAAAGGAGTCCACATCTCCATTTGAAAATTTTTAGGAGTCTGCAAATGAAAAAAAGTTTGAAAACCACTGCTATAGAACAGTGTACGGGGGATCAGGCATCAAGGCTGCAAGTTCCCCATCACTTCTGACTGAGGTGAATGCTTTGAGGAATGAGAGGTTTCAAAGTAGCAGCCGTGTTAGTCCGTATCCGCAAAAAGAACAGGAGTACTTGTGGCACCTTAGAGAGTAACAAATTTTTCTCTAAGGTGCCACAAGTACTCCTGTTCTTTTTGCGGATACGGACTAACACGGCTGCTACTTTGAAACCTCTCATTTCTCAAAGCATTCACCTCAGTCAGAAGTGATGGGGAACTTGCAGCCTTGATGCCTGATCCCCCGTACACTGTTCTATAGCAGTGGTTTTCAAACTTTTTTTCATTTGCAGACTCCTAAAAATTTTCAAATGGAGATGTGGACTCGTTTGGAAGTCTTAGACATAGTCTGTGGACCCCATGTTGAAAACCACTGTTCTGTAGCAATACGGTAACACTATGTCCACACCCTTGCTTCCTACCTGTTTCTTCAGAATTCTACATTCATCAGGAGATTCAGATACTGGTGTTTTATCCCAAGCCTCAGTCTTTAAGAGAAGAAACAAGCCTCCATACACTGGACATAAAAAGAGCTCTTGCCTTTTACCTCCACAGGACAAGGCCCTTTAGGGCTTCCCCATGGTTTTTCATCTCAATTGTGAAATGAATGAAAGGACATCAGGTTTGCACCCAAAGATTGAACAGGATGGATCTTAACCTCTTATGAACAACAGGGTTTTACTTTCTTTTCAGAGTGATTGAGCCCACTGAGGCTCAATCTACCTCTGCAGCTGCACTGAAAAACTGCTTCATATCTCATACATCTTCAGGGCAGTCACCTGGTCTTAGGTGCACATGTTTTCCCAGCAGTATGCTCTTGTGCCTGCTTCCAGAGCAGACATGGCTTTCGGTGACACTGTTCTACAGTCTGTACTGAATCCACCTCTCGGCACCCTCCTCCGTATTGTGGTACTGCTTGGGAGTCTCCTGAGGTGGAACATCCATAGGAACAATACTCGAAGAAAAAGAGAGGTTACTTATTTTGTATAATAATTGGAATTCTTTGAGGTGTGTCCCCCTATGGGTGCTGAACTACCCTCTCTTATCTTGAGCAATTAAGAGCTGAAAACCCATATACTCCTTTTTAAAGGGTTAATAACTGTTCAGATGAGATTGTAATCAAGTAATGTATAGTGCCGTTCTCTAGATCTCAGCTGGGGGAATCTAATAAACTAATTTTTATCTCTTCTTTCTGTCATTTTGCTACTAAGTGGCAAAACCAAATTAGCAGACTTTTTAAACTTTGATAAACCCTCGTACTTTTAGGGTATCATCATTAAGGAACCGTTTGTCCAATTCATATCAAATTTCATAGAAAAATTGTAGCCTGGCTGCAAACCTGGCCTTCCAATGTGGAGGCTTATATGATTTTTCTGATGGATATTAGAGGAAAGCCACTGCAGCATTTTCAGCCTAAGTGAATGGAAGCAAGGTACAACAGAAATATTGAGAGCCTGTCCTCACAAGCTTCCCAGCCCAGTTGTGCAGACTCCAGGAGGCATGGATTCATACTTTCAGTACTTAACTGAACCAAACTTTCGAACCTTTGGAGTTTACTCTATCAATTCTTATAAATGGTGGTGCATAATTTTCAGATTATATTTTTCCACTGTTCATTAAAACGTTCTTCAGATAGATAAGATCATCTCATTGGAAAGCAATAACCTTTAATATTATCTGAGCTAAATATGCTCTCATTCAAACATGGAATTTAATTTGAACACATTCTCAGGACTTACAGTATGTGTTCCTTGCATTAGTAAAGAACACTTTAACAGCCTGAATTTGTCAGGCTTGTACTCTGTCATCAGTCGTTTGGTGTTTGAATGCAAGCAGTAGTGTGTCAAGAAGCTGCTGGTGGAAGCTGACAACTCGCATACCCTTGTGCTCACCTGGCACAGCAGTCTGAGAGTATTTTTCCCCATAGATGAGACTACTGTGTTGACCTGGATTAACTAAATGGCTCAACCTATAACTTGTCATGTCACGGGAGTATGGAGGATCACGGGAAGTTATTGCCCTGCAGTCACTAGCATTTGTTGCCTATGTTCAGAATGTAAGGCAGGTAGGAGGTAGGACCTGGAATGTAAAGGGCAGGAAAAACGGAGCACCTGAAGAATATGATATTATAATTAAAGGAAATCACTTGGACCTGTTTATAATAATAATAATTAATACCTAGCTCTTCTATAGCGCCTTTCCTCAGCAGATTTCAAAGTGCTTTACAAAGGAGATCAGAGTCATTATTCCAATTTTACAGACAGGGAAACTGTGTGATTTGATCTAGTATATTATGTGATATCTTCATTCGTCAGAGCAACTAGCGTAGTTACACGTGCAGATAATGACCGCTTCCTGAATTGTTCTGAGCTGGCGTTCTTGTGAAAAAGACCTCAGACGTTGGCACCTCACACAGGGAAGGGTACAAAAATAAAATGACATTTGGGGAGGGAAGAGGAGAGAGATTCATATAAAATGCTGCACACCTGTAGGTGCTGACAGATGGGTTCTGTTGCAAAGGCGGTTTTCTGGAATCTCAGTTGTTTCATTGCCACACTAAGCAGCATGTTGTTTCAGTCTTGTAGGAGTATTGTTCTTCTGCACAAAGTCAGTTTCATTTCCTAGTGGCTGCTTGTTTCGTTATTTATTTCTATTGCAGCAGAGCCTAGGGTCCCACCTGAGATCAGGGTCCCATTGCACTAGGCATTGCACAGACACTTAGTAAGAGACCTTACTTGAAGAGGCCGACAAAAAGTGAAAGAATGGAGGTGTTGTTATCCCCATTTTACAGAGAGAACAAGCAACTTGGGAAGATCACACAGGAAGTCTGTAGCTGAGCTAGGAATCTAACCCAAATCTCTTGAGTGCAAATTCAGTGCCTTAACCATAAGACCATGCTGCTTCTTGGTGTGTTGTACTGTCAAGACATAACAATACTGGGTTTCCTGTGGGGTTGTTGTTATTGTTTTTAAAGTGGTGTGGACTCTAAAATAAGGAAAAAAGAGTAAGAATGTTTATGGATCCTTGACAATATACCTCTGTAATATACAGTGTTCTTTTCCTGTCTCCCTTGGTGGCTGCTGCGCCTGTATACCTCCCCCACTCCCATTTGTCTTCATTGAGTGTTTTGTGTGAGTAATGACTGCAGGATCAGGCCCATAATCTGTAATAGAGTTCTGTTTACCCAGTTACCGAATTAGCACCTTGTTCACTACACACCTGAGGTTTCTTGCTGCTCCACACCATGCAGCTTTAAAACTTCTTATTACGCGTACACCACTGGGTAGTCATCAATTTCTTCAGACAAGTGAAATGTCCCTAGGCTGATACCTTAGGAGTGGTGGCCACTGGGAGATGGAGGACTTGTTCTAGAAATCTAGGGGAGACCAAAAATAGAACAAACTGACAAGCCTAAGGGAAAACATTTTCAAAACGTAAGCAGCTTTGCCTGTGTGTTTCTAGTGCTGTCTCAGAAAAATAAAATCTAAGGTACAAGCCAGCCATTTCAGCCAGTTTGAACTGATTATGTACTGTGAAGGGGGTGGGTCTAATGATCCACCATTAGTATGCTGCTCTGTATAATTTACATTTATCTTCTTAGTCTGTGATTAGCTTTATTTCCCAATAAAAAAAAGTAAATAGATTCACTGGCTGTTGCAGTTTCAGATATTTTTCATCAAGATAGGGTAACTCCATGCTTAAATGGTTATCCATTTATTATGTTTGCTTTCTAATAGTACATCTATTAAAGGCAAATATGCAACCATTAGTATGTAAATTGAACTTGGATGTCTGAATATTTGAGCAACAGCCTCAAATGTGACTTATTGGCTAATTAGTTTTATTGTAATTGAAGATGTATACAGAGCTCATGTTTGTAGATACATATAGAGAATACGTGATGGTGTGGCATAAAAATTTTATTGGCATAAATTTGGAAATGCTGCATTTCTTATGAGTGAGTTTTGCAGATCACCCCAAATGAGTATCGATAAAATTTTTACACCACCCCACACCGTTGGGTATTGTACATCATCTTCGGGGGAGGTGGGGGGAGGATGGAACACTCTCTTCTTTTCTCACACTAATGGGTGGGGGAAGGGAACCACTGACACTTTCTACTGTCAGCTCAGAATAAGGAGACCTCACACTCAGCCTTGCATTGGATTAGAAACCTGTCAATCATCATGGCATCTAGCATCATGAGTCATGGCAGTAGGCGCAAGATGCTGAGCTCTCTGGCCTCAGTCCAGCAGAGCACTTAAGTACATGCTTAACATTAAGGTCATGCGTAGTCCCACTGAAGTCAGTAGGATTACTCATGTGCTGAAAGTTAAGCATGTCCTTAATGGGTTGGATGCTTGTTGGATCGCGGCTAGAGAGCTCAGCACTTTGCAAGATTGAACTGAGTGCTCAGCATCTTGCAGGACTGAGCTCATGGTAAGCAGAAAAATGTTTTTAAATGATCCTGAGTAAAATCATGACAGTTTAATGCGTTAAAAATGTAAAATAGATATTTGAAAGCCTTTGAAACCACTTGGTATCACTGAACTGCATGAGAGAAAGGTATTTCATCAAGCCGGCCTTTGGAGGAGAGTGTGCAGAACCTGCCTTCCAGCCCTGACTAAAGAAGGGTAATTAAAGAAGGTTAGAGGATTGGGAGGGCCGGCTGGAGGGGGGAAGGGAAGAAAAGGGTGGTTTAAAAATGGAGGAGAGAGGGGGAAAGAAGTGAGAAGTAACATTGAAAGGTAAAATAAATTAGGTGAGCGGCAAAAGAGAAAAGCAACATTTCTAGAGCGGATTCCAGAGAATACACAGAGTGAAAGAAATGATGAAAAGATTATTCAAGATATAGAATGAAAAAGAGAGGCAATAGGGTTTTTGCCTCTATTTGTGATTCATAGATTCATAGATTCTAGGACTGGAAGGGACCTCGAGAGGTCATCGAGTCCAGTCCCCTGCCCTCATGGCCGGGACCAAAACTGCCTA